CGCAAAGGCGGGAAGGGGTCCCCTGCGCTGAGGCGCCTGCTGCGGCGCCGCGGGTCGCTCGGGAGCCTGTGTGCGCGCCGACTGGCCACCGCCGCATCTGTTTTTTAAAGATGCGACGAGCTGTGTGGGCGACAGCTTGGTGTGTTCACTGCGAGCTTTGACAGCGTGGCATTCTTGTTAATTTGGGACTTTGTGGCAAGCCAGCCTATGCTTTTAAGAAGAGAGACTGTACAGATACCTTCTCGATTTACCTATTGATATTTATGCTCTTAACCTTTTTTCATCATAGGTTCATTAAGTTCCATAACGTCAGCGTTTTGAATTATAATTTGATTTTCCTGTTGCAGTAATGGGAAGGGAGAAAATAATGGTTCGGACTGCAAAGATGCTGCTTGTATACTAATGCTACTTTTGCATTATTATGCTAGAGTGCTTCGAGTTGATTTTAAGTTGCTAATTAGTGTTACTAGCCTAGGAATGAATATAAATAATTTTGTAGTTGTTGTGGTCTAAACTCAACTTTCGAAAATGTCGGAATAATTTATGAAGTATAGTTCTGGAAAAAAGTGTTTAACTTCAACCTTAATTTTTTTCCAACTTGTATAGTAGTTTTCTCGTTGAAAATTAATTTTTATAGATTAGTATGAAGGAACTGGGGTAAGATTTGTAATTTTGGAATAAGAATCTTAAAGGTTATTAAATAAATTGGGAAAAAGCCCATTTTGAAGAGTGAAGACAGGGGACATGGAACATTGAAATGGCTTTCTTGATAAGAAGTGTGACTAAGTTCTTGTTTTCTTCATCAGGTTATCATTGTCTAAAGGCCCGAGACTATTTTGTCATGCTTATTTAAAAAACAAATATAGTAAGTTATGATAGTCATTACCTAATAATCTTCTTTGCCCATCTGAATGTATTCTGTATAATAGTTTAAAATAATTATTTTTAGTGTTTGGAAAGCAGTATTTAAAAATTTTGACATAGCAATAAAAGTCTGTTTTAATAAGCTTCTTTCTGTTAACCTTAAAAAAGAATTTTGCTGTAGGATATTATAAAAATCTTGTACTGAGTTTACAAGGTCTGGATTCTAGTACTGGTTCTGCCACTAAGTAGCTGTCTCAACTTGGACAAATCACCTACCCCTCTGATCTGTTTCTTTAATTGTAAGCAAACTGGAATATCTACCCCAGGATTATCCTGTGAGGTATATGAAATAATGCGTGTAAAATTCAGTTTGAAGTATAAAAGGCTTTATGAATATCGGTTATAATAATTTATTGGGATCTGCAGAAAATATTTTTCAAATATTATATTTCCATCAAGAATGAAAGATTTAAGTGTAACTGTAGTTTGAAAAACTCAAACATGCATTATATGACACATAATCCCTTTCCTGAAGCATGCAGTTCATGCACTGAAATAAAACAATGTCATTTTCAGCTATTGAGGATACTAAATGTTTGGTTATGCAGACTGTGTTCATATATCTGTATGAATATTTACATATTTTAAGATTTATTTTTCTTAAATCGATTTGTTTGGAATTATGGTGTTGAAAAGTTATATAGACTCACATGTCACTTTATTCTGTATAGAACTAGAGAATGAATTTACCATTTTCTAAGTTTCAGAAACAATATGGTAGCTTGCTTGCTTATTTATTTATTTATTTATTTGAGACAGGGTCTCACTATGTAGTTCAGACTGCTCTGGAACTCACTCTGTAGCCCAGGCTGGTCTCAAACTCACAGCAGTCCTTCTGCCTCAGCCTCCCAGGTGCTGGGATTATAGGCGTGCGCCACCACGCTGGGCCTATGATAGCATTTTAATGTAGTCAAAGTATTATGCTGTAAATTTACCATAAGTTTTTGGTTTTACACAAATTGATACTTATTTTTTTGTTTTTTTTTGTGTTTTTTTTTTAAGAAAAGGGTTGTAAACTTAACATGATTTTAACAAGCAATAGTATATATTGAGGAATCTAACGGTCATTGTCACCTTTGAGTCCCAAGAGATGCTGTATGTGTATAACATTTTACCCTAAAGTAATATCTAACCATAGCTTATATGAAAAATAATTTTCTGTAGTTTACTAGGCATTTTCACCAATTTGTGTATTTTTGTCTCAAAACATGGGCATGCTCCTAGTGAAATGATTGTAACTGCAAGGATTTAGACCTAACCCCTGATTTACAGATAGAAATACTTAAGTACTCTAGATCACTATTTAAATAATGCTTCTAGAGAGATCTGAAATCTTACTTGGTTATGTTTTCTAGTAATATATTTAAAAATATCATGAAAACTATTTTGGCAATCCTTTCAAATAACATTGGATCTGAATCACCTTGTTAATTATGTAAATAAGTGGTACTTAATTTATTGAAATTTTCCAGTATTAGTAATGTTTAAGTCATTTTGCAACTGAAGTCTACAATACTGAGATCTGTGCCATTGTACTTATTCCTTTCTGAGATAGGTTAGATTTTTTTGAGTAGATTTTTCATATTACAAAAATAATAGACTCATTACAGAAAAAGCTGATTTAAAAAATTTCTTCTGGGCCAGGGATGTAGCTCGGTGGTGCCGTGTCTGCCTGGCAAGTGCAAGGTCCTGAGATCGATCCCCTGTTCTGCCAAAAAAAAAAAAAAAAAAAAAAAAAAAAAATTCTCCTAATCTCAGTCTTGTAACATGAATTATAGAGACCTAGGTAATGAAATGGCAGGTACATCTTATATATATATATTTGTTTGTTTGTTTTAACTTGAAGTAAACATGTAGCAGATATATTTTCAAGGTAAAGGATGCATTGGCACATACTAAATGGGATTTTTTAGGTTTTAGGTTTTTTTTTTCCTTTGACTCAAACTTGTGAAGAAAATTGCAACCAAATGTTAATTAGGTTAAGCTACCTTTGAATGAAAACCTGTTAAAAATGGAATTATGTATATTTTAGGGGTGACTATAATTTTCCTTATTTAATCAGTTTGGAAAATACTGAAACTTTTTGTTTTTCTTTTAAGAAACAGATTCTGACAGAAGACTTCCATTTGATAATTTGTTTAATCAGTGCAAGTAAAATTAGAAAACAATGGAAATAGAAAGTGAGCAGATACTGAATGTGAACCCCACAGGTAAGTAATGTCTTAAACCCTGTCTTGTGAGCAAGCTTCATGTCATCTATACTTCATGAAAACATGATGTATTCTTTAAGCACCATCTTAATTCATGCTATTGGAAAACAAGCCATACTTACAATCAAGTTTGCAGGGTTTTTTTTGTTTGTTTGTTTGCAATTCTTATTTTCATGTGAATTTATCACGTCCTTGTTTTTCTGCCTATCCTTTCATATTCCTTATATTCTTATGTGCCATTATTTATTTATGTATTTGGTACCAGGGATCAAACTCTGGTCCTTTCGCTTACAAGGCAGGTGGCAGAACCACTGAGCCAAATCCCTGGCCCCTTGTGCCATTCATTATTTATAATAAAGTATATACTACAGAATGTAGAAAGATAATCTACTTACTAATATTTCCACATAGACTAGTGATTTATATAATATAAACTATAATTGGTATCTTTGATCTCTTTTCTAATGATTTATATTTTATAAATTAGCTATGTTATTTTCCCATGATGCTTTCATACCATATTGATATAAAAATGCACGTTTTGTGGAATAGATGAGTGGATGTTGAGTAACTTATGATAACCTAAAATACATTTATTGATTAGTTTTCAAAATAATTTCTAAGAGTTCATTAGGATTGTACATTATATAAATAGTGAGATCTTTTCATATTGGTATGTTTTAGATGATTGTTTTCTTACTAGTTTATTAATATAGAAAGCTTTCTATTTCTGTAGTTATTTTTCATGATTAAACACTACCTTTAATGACTTTAATTCACTGTATACAAATTCCTATAGTTTTCTTTGACCTAAACAAATACTTTGCTGTTGAAACTTGTTACTTTGTATTTATAATCCTTTGATTTAAAGTATGCTAGAAAGTTATAGTTGAAAAAATTTGCTGCAATAATTAGTGATTATTTCTGTGCTGCTATATACAATACTTACGTGAGAACTGTTTTTTTGGGGGGGTTATAAATGAGTATTATGTCCCTACTTAGGTGGGGATGGTAACATAGTTTGAGGGTGTATTTCACATATAGGAAATGGCTGCTTTTTCCTACAGTCCAGTATGACTATAACTACTAGCCAGATACCTTGAAGCACTTGAATGTTCCTAGTCTTCGAGATGAAGATGAATAGCTCAGTGAAGTTTTATATTCATTGCATGTTCAAATTATTATTGTATGGAATATGTTAAAATTAATTTACCTGCTTTGTTTTACTTAATATGGCTACTAGAAAATTTAAAATTACACATGTGGTCTGTTTTCTATTTCTGTTTCTCTTAGCATAGCTGTAAGATTTACACTTTTTGTTTCAAGACCTAGTTATAAATGTTTTTGGTGCTTTTCCCCAGTACTTCCTTAAAATAACAACTTGTTTTTCAGGCCTAAGTCAGTCTGTGTTTGCAATAAATTCTTCCTGTAGCAAATAGTTCTAGTCAGAGATACTACTTCCAGTTTCTACCTTTACTAGTTTTGTTATTTTGAGGAAGTAAATTATTTACTTTGCCTTCAGTTTCTTCATATAGATAATTGGGATATAAATACCCTTTTATCAACTGTTAGGGTTTAGTGAGATCGTATGTGTCAAGTATATAGTACATACTAAGTATGCAGGGCATGAAAATACTGCTGATAATGCTCTTCTAATTGTGCCACTCATTGGGCACCAGAATTGAAAATGTAATTGTCTGATACTATGGACATATAAGTTGAAGAGGTTACTATTGAGATATTAGAATTCAGAAGAAGAAATGAGTAAACAGTAGAAAATAATTTTGAGGTTATACATTCTGTACTCAGAATACAGCAATGTTGTATTTTTAAAAAAATCAGATCAATTTATTGGGATTCTATAATCATTGTATTGTGATTTTTAAACTTAGGTGAGCATGAATAACAAAATATAAAAGAGCAATTGATGTAAACATGGATTAAAAATGATAAGATTAAATATATAAAATATACCTAGGGAGAATGTTTATTTCTGAAGACCTTTAAACATACACAGTATTTGAATGGAGGTTAAAAGTTGGAGGAAAAAAAAATATGGAATAGATATA